CATTTTTTATATTCATTCCTCATGTCATTACGGATAACAAACTGGTTTTTGTTATTTTTTTCAGTCTTGGTCATCTCATTGGCCCCGACAAGTATCACAGCTCACGGAAATGATGAAAGTAAACTTCCACCACCACCTTCCGTAGATGCTACGGACCACTCGACCTTAGCCTCCGGCAACATTGGTCTTGGATTCGGGCTTTCTGCCCTTGCAGCATTTGCTTCTGCCTTAGGTTCCTTCGTGCCATTACTAGACTTTATATTTCCACGTATTCCATGGACTAAAGATTTTCGAATTACGCAATCAAAAGGCTTTCTCGCTGGCTCGTTATCATTTGCTGCTGGAATACTATTATTTCTCACGTTAGGCGATCTTTACCCTGAAGCAATATCGTCATTCCGGAATTCAAAACTTTTCAATCCGAAATACGCTGACATTGTGGCCGCTTCTATATTCATTGTAACTATTATAATAATCATGATAGTAAAATATTTTTTTGGTCACAACCATAATCATAGCCTGCATAGTAATCATGTTGAAACCGAGGACAAATCAATTAATAACCTTGAAAAAAAGGTTGACCTCGAAAAAACCGGTAGTATAGATAAAAATTCGCCAACTGTGGTAAAATCCGATGATGCTTTAAGACTCAGAAATTTGGGCATTCAAATTGCTGTTGCCTTGGCTCTTCAGTAAGCAATTCATTTCTAAATAAAAAGAAATAAATAAATAAATATATAGATATAATTTATTTAATTGATTTTTTTTTTTTATAGCAATTTTCCGGAAGGATTATCCACTTTTGCGGCCGCAATTGCGAATGCTAAAATCGGAGTTATATATGCAATCGCACTTTCCTTACAGTAAATATCTTTCGTTGCTTTATTCCAAAATCATTTTAATTTATATATATATATTAATAATAAATGTTTATATTTCTCAGTAAAATCCCGGAAGGTCTTATCATTTCTTTACCAATATATTATGCCACCGGTTCTCGATTAAAAGCTTTCTTGATCGCTGCTTCCGTTGGCTTTACTTCACAGATGTTGGGTGCTGTTTTGGGTTATGTAATCTTTGTCACTGTATGGAACGAAGCCGTCTCCGGTTTTCTTTTTTCTATAGTCACTGGTACTCTACTTTACGTAATCTTACACGGCATGTTACCATTGGCACGTAGTTATGATCCCCAAGATAAATATTGTACTTATTATGTATGTGGTGGTTTGTCCTTCTTTGCGTTTGTCGCGTCTCTATTTAACCTTTAACTGTACACAATCATTCTTACTATGTATATATCAATTCATCATGAGTTGCACGTATCTATATTTGAAATATTTTAATAAACAAAATTCGCTCGATTGCTTTTTTATTGACATAACATAGTATTTGTTAGATATACAAACTCATTTCTCGTGTTAAATTAAGTGCAAACAAATTTACAAATACTGTTTGTAAGACGCTAATCTTAAATTTACAAATGACAATATAGCAAAACTCAATAATTGCTTCAAATATAAAATTTCTCCAAAAGACTACATTAGGATTTACCGAAACTACATTAGGATTTAGTCCCGATTCAAGTCATTTAAGATTCTTAAGATTGCGATAAATAGGTTAATGAAATCCATATAAAGTTCAACGTATGCAATCACGTATTCTTCAGGGCTTAATCGTTTCATGATAGTGAATGTGTCATAAATAATAAATCCACTAAAGAGAACAGCCGTACCAGCCGCAAATACCAGATCCCACGTTGAATTGAATGGAACAAATATGCCAATAATTCCTGCGATTATAACAACCCAAAGACCTGCGTACAAGCTAAACCAAGTAATGTGAGTAATAAGAAATCTAAAGTAAACGTGTAAAATTCAATTAGCGGCACTAAGTCAATAAGCTTACAAGGGAAACATTCCACTGAAATCATATTTAGATTGGACGGTAAACAATGAAAGGGCAATGAAAATAAAACTTGTGATAATAAAGGCATATAGTACAAGTTGGGTGTTGAATAAGGTCACTATTAAGAATAAATTTTATTTAGTTATTAATAATTATTGAAAAGATTTCATCATGAAATTTATGTTTTATATGATGACATACCCATTGTTCCGATTGAATAGCTCTCGGCAAGTGTAAAAGCTGTCAGCAGGGCATAATTTGTAGGGTAAGATCGACGTTTCCACATGAGAAGTAACAAAAGGATAAATGTTGCAACCATGGAAACAATCAAAAGCCAAACACTGTTGAATTATCATTAGCATCATCTAAAATTATTATAAATAACATGCCTATGGAATTAAAGAAGTTTCATACTTCGTTTGAACCCAGAATTGGATAGTTTTATTGGTAATAAAGATTACGCTCATAATAGTCGTTAAACCAATTTGTGCAAGCAAAATCGAATAGACCTTACGCACAAAAGCTATAAAAGTAAGTTAGCTCTCCATGACAAATAACTTAAATTTTTGATCAAGAAGGAACCAACCCATCCGAACGCTAACGTCGCACTCTGAAACCGACACGCCATATTTAAAATCCTCAGGAACATCGTCAGTTTCCCATTCTCTGCCTATGAACGGTTCGCGTGAAGTCCCAACAGTACTATAGGCTGGTGGTGGACCTGGATAAGATCCTTGGTTTGTACCGTACGACATTCTTTTTTCCAACTTAGTGTTAATTTTACAAGAAAACGTGGGAGGCAAAATATGTACGTATACTATATATTACATAGCCTTGTAACACAGTACTTCATGCCCGCATGTTCCGATTTTCTACATCAATCAATATTTGATATGGGCTGATTTGAAAGTAAACCACCAAAATTACCGTCTCGATCCCAACGAACCAAAATCATTAAACATTTGTTATTTTGGTTTTTATACGTAGTGGTGATTAGAGGTCTTACTCGGTTAACAAATAAGTATTCGTATTTGAATATTCATTAAAATTTTGAATAATCATTCGAATACGTATTCATTAAATATTAATAATTATAAAATAAAATGATTAATTTAAAACAAATAATAAATTAAAATAATATTATATATATATTATAAAATTAAATTAAAATAATAGTATATATTATAAAATTAAATTAAGTTTTAATTTTATAAAAAATGTGTTTGAAACCGAGGTGACAGTAACCCAATTTGATTTAGAGTTAAATTTAGGGTTAGTTAAATCATAAAATTTGCAAGGATTATTTTTTGTATAGGCATAATTTTGAATTATTTTGATTTGAAATTTTTGAAGTTTTTGAACTATGCAATCTGATTGGCTTGGTGACTGTAACTACTGGTGACAAATAGATTTACTTTTAATTTTAAATATATAAAAAAATATATACTATATAGCAGGTTTATATAAAAATAAAAAAATAAAAAGTGTATTTATAAAGATCAAGTATATATTTGAACCAAAATCTGAGCATATATTTAGAGAGAATATATACTTATAGAGAGTATATTTAGAAAAATTTGATTATATAAACAAATAATTTTATATATTAAATAAATAAATTATATAGTGTTTAACAAAAGTTTTTCTGTACCTCTAGCTTTTGCTAGATTATGTGCAAACATGTGAAATTTCATTTATATATAGTATATTGCATATGCAAATTGTACTAATATTCTTTGGGAATAATTGATAGTAAAAATATCTGCTTCAATCGTGCATGAAATTTTAGCCAAAAAAATATTATTTGTTTTATATAAATGATATGAAATTGTTTTTTTAAGCATCTATCTAAAAGGCCCCAAACTTTCAATCTGTAAAATAGCAAAGCAAGTTTACTGTGATGAAAGTTTTATGCACTATTAGGTAAAAAGGTAGCAAGAAACCAAGAACCTAAATGATAAACCAAGGTTAGGTCATAAAAGAGTTACTACCCAAAGACAAGACAAACAGATTTTAGAGCTAGGAAAAAAAATTGAAAATATTATAGCCCAAAAATCTGTCATAAACTAATAAAACAGAATGTTAATATTCATATACTATTTAATAGTGTCTTTGTAAAAGTGAAAGCTGTTATTACAGAAAGCTCTCAAAGCTTTGCTTGGAAAAAAGCATCGAAAAAATATTTTTCATGAACAAAGAAGCATAAGGATTTTGACTAAGATTCTGTAATATTTATTGGCAAAAGTACCTTCTGCTTGAATCAATGATTAAAAAAGGTATGGCAGTTTCTCAGAATAAGAAAATTAACCTGTTCTGTCAAGTATCTGATGAAGGTTTATATATAGAGCTGTTTTTCTTTTTTAGGCTTTGGCAGATTGGTTTGCTTTACGTATAATTTTAATATGCAATATATAATTACTCTGTATGAAATAGGCCTTCTGCCTTCTATTGTGGATCTTTTTAACTAATGTTGCAATAGATGGATCTTGCAGGAGAATAACAATCCAAAGCATCATTCAAAAATCACAAAGACTTGAAAAACATACAGGTTCTTCTCTGAACATTGATATCATCTAACCAAAACCTAATTGAAAATATCTGGGGTTTATGACAATGAATCTAGTAAAAAAAAATCAGAACTTTTAGTTGTTTGAAGAGCGAAATAATAAGGAAACAAAATAGTTTATCTAAAAAATATACAAAAAATTTGATTAGAAGTATAAAAAGTTATATAAAAGCCCTAATTAAAGCTAAGAGTAATTATACAATTTATTGATTTTTCTTGTAATACAATATATTTTTAAATAAAAAAGTTTTTATTTATCTTACCTCTGTGCTAAGTTAAAGATATAGAAAAACTTTTGTCAGGTACTGTATAAGTTATTTTTAGCTAAAAAAATTATTTTATTTATATTTAGTATTATTTTTTTTTTTTAAACAATTTTATTTATTTTTATTTAAAAAAACTAAAATACTATATATATATATTAAATATAGTTTATATTATTTTAGCTAAAAGTAAAACTTATTTAGTTTTATCTTGTAGTTGCTGAAGCTTTTATTTGCAGTTAAAGCAAACTCTTAGACTACTGTATTATACTTAGATATAATCTGCCAAAACAATACTTAACTTCTTTTAAAAGTTCAAAACTTACTAAGAATTTATATTTTTTAGAATTAATAGCTAGAATATTGTTAGCCTCATCAAGATTTCTACCTTATAATAGAATATTGCCAATCTGATAATATTTTCTCATAAAGAAAAAAAAAAAAGTAGAAAGCAAAAAAAAATATAAATATAAAAACAGATACTAATTTAAAAAGAATCTGGGGTTAGGACCCTATAGCTTAATGGTCTAAATACCTACTTTTACAGTTAAGGTTTTTGGTTCAAGTTCTACTAAAAGCAGTTTTTAAAGTATTTAAATGCAAAATCTTGTGGAAGTCCAAATAAAGTATGAATTTGGTGTAAGAATTTTTAAAAAGAGATCTATTATAGAGAAAAAAGATACTATGTGTGATAGTAGCATCACAAAATGTTTGATGACAAGAAAGTTGTGTGAGTTCATCCTGCAGGCAGCAAGATAGCACCAACAATCCTAAGACAGTCTTGGAATCTTGATTTGGGAAATAATACAACTATTGTACAAATTGAAATAGTAAGAAAAGTGACAAATATAAAGGGATCTGTGATAAAGAATTAGTCTAACCAAATAAGAAATACCTCTGGCAATCTATACTAATATGAAGTGATTAGTATAGAAAAATACTACAGAATATCTGTATATATATAAAAGACTTGTATATTATCAGTATAAGTCACACCCAATTAGAAGTCTCTAAGGGATGTGACAAAAATCAGATGATTTTTTAGGGAGGGAGAGGGCAAAAAATTTAAAATTATATATAAAGACCTGATTAAGATATATAGTAAAAGGAGGGGAGGGGATAAGCATCTGATAAAAAAAAATCAGGTGATAAATAACACTGCTCTAACTAAATACAAGACCAATACAGATACATTAATTCTAAAACACCAACTAATATAGCTATAAGTTAGAAGTAATATTGTTATGCAAAATTTAATTAAAAGTAGCTTTACTAGTTAAAATTATGCCCATGTTCAGGTCTATACCAATTTGAGAAGTATATAAATAGATATACTGCATATACTTAAATAATAAGTCTACTACTAAAAGTGTATAAAAATCAGCTAAATGATTAAGAAAGTGATCTGAGAATTCACTTAAATAGGATTTTATATATAGGTAGGTATATATACCAAATTGGGAGTACTTAGATACAATAGTAGAAAAAAATCTTACTAATTTAGTAGTTTATAGAGAATATATTAAACATAATATAATAGTATAAAAAATCCTAATATATATTAAAAATAGGATTAGATAAATCAGATAGAGATATATATTTGTAGATAAAATAGTTCTAAGCTAAAGTCTTACTAGTTATACTATAGCTACTATATAATTTGTAATAATATATATAATAAAGACCTAGACAAAAATGCTAGAATATAGCGATTTAGTGAAATGGTGAAGTTGTCGCATCCCCAAGCAGCATATCTAAAGTTCAAATCCTATTATTGACGAAATTTGAATTTTCTGTTATAGAACGATTATTATAACAATAAATTGAATTGCTAATTTGTAAACAATATCATATCAGATATCTAATATCTGAAAGGATTATTAGGTATTTTACTAAAACTTGCAAATTTGCAACTTTGATATTACTTATAATTAGCTATAAAGTAGCTATAAGGTAACTATATAGTTACTTTATAGTAATTATACTTTACATTTACTATAAGTTAACAATATGTCTACTACTACTTACTACTATATTACTACTATTTTACTACTATTTTACTATACTTTTACTACAATTTTAC